AGATTCCCACTTTGGGGAAAGCCAAAAGCCCAGAGCTCCCCAGCCTGTGATCAGTCTCTACCAGGACAACATGGTCACTCACAGCCACCTCCCCTTCCTCAGCCCCTGTGCGTTTTACATCCTGCTTGCTTCTGTAGGCAGACCGGCGCAGGAGCCTCGTCACCAGCCCCACAGAGCCCTTCTGCTCCCACCCTGCTCGGGCATTGTCACACACCGTGTCTGTGTAGGACCTACCGCACACGGTGACAGCTCGGGCCCTCCCACCCTCCGCTCGCGCAGCGCGGAGTTTCCGGAGCCGCACTTTTGCTGCAGTTGGGCCCCAGGGAAAGGAACAAAGGAGCCATTTTCATCTCCAGCCTCGTCGGGAGCCGAGGGAGAGGGCAAGAGAAAAGAACAGTGTTTGCAAAACACGACAATCGGCAGGAAATTTTCTTCTGGCTTTTTGAGGTTGGGTTTGTTTCTCCCCCTCTTCCTCTTTGTAAAGAGGGTAGGCACAGCATCAGGACAGTTTAAAAACAACCAGGCCCTGGCCAGCCACATCTGCCATGTGCAGCCCTTCCTGGGCTGATGATCCTCTCCTGCTATCAGGGCTCCACAAGCCAAATGCTGAACGATGCTGTGGTCTTCCAGCAAGGGAGAGGGACAGGGCAGCCCCTTCACAGCAGACTAGAAATAACGTTTGTGAACTGCCGTGCCACTTATGATGATTTTATGGTCTGTCTGCGACTTTAGGGGAAACAGAATCATGGTAGAAATGAAGAGGTGGTGAAGCATGATACACAACAGGTTCACTGCCTGAGAGACAAGTCAATACGGGACCACATTTAAAACACATTTGCAACCTCAGGCCTATTCTCCATTTGAAATTTTGGACTCATGTCAAACACAAGGGTTGAGGTTTTTTTGAAAGAAGAGAGAACAAGCAGACACTGCACAACAGAAAAAAATGTTATAAAAATAGTACGTTGAAACAGAGCTTGTTAGGTCGAGAGTCTTAAACCCAGCTTTAAAATCTTAAGAGGTGAACCCATAGACAAATGTGGATTTTGAGATTGCTTTGGATACAGTCTGGCTGCTGTGCAGGCTGGCATCTATTAATAGGGACAGATGCACAGAAAGGAATTCTTGGTTGCTCAACAATTCATCTGCCCTTGCAGCTTCACTCACAGGAAAAATTAAGGCACAATGTGTTCCCTCACAGGAGGGCAGTCACCCAGTCCCTGGGAGGTGGAAGGGTTCTCCTGGTGCTGGAACCCTTCCTTACCTGGCCCAGGGGAAAACTGGACACAAGGGTCTCTCCCTCTTCCTCCTGTGGCCTGAAACTTTTCTCCCCACCTGATGTGATGTTGCTCTGGCTAGGTACAAACTGGAAAAGCAGGACATGGACTCTGGATGCAAACCTAGGATGAGGGAAGAGCCAAGCATTGCTTTCAAGTGTTTTGGGGTTTTTTAAGAAGTATTTCTACTGGTCCCAGATGAAAAACAACACAACCCTTACTTCTCCCAAGACCATTTGATGACCTGATGGTGTAATTTCAAAAGCCATGCAAAAGCAACTGAATATTTAAAGAGCTTCAGAATGTAATTTCAAATCACTGTTGGCAATTCCACGTAGAGTAAAACCAATATACAGTATCCTCAAAGAATTAGACACAGCAGGCACCATCTATCTAAGCCACTGAAAATATGGTTACAGCAGCTACAAGACTGACTGCTCTGCTCAGATCACACCCTACATACTTTAATAATGAAATTATACATTCCTTGTCCTGTTTTTAATCAGAAATTGAGAGAGAGGGAAAGTAGCCCTGGCTTTTAAGACTTCTCCTGTTTCAGAATTGCTGTCACATGCTGGATTTTCAAGGCTCTTCATATTTCCAAATATCTGAATTGACCTGCATTGCCAGATTTCTTCAAAAGAGAGAAATCCTGTACTCACTGCTTCTAAACTGCTTTCATTTCCATCCAGGTCACTGTCTTTAGCCAACACAAGTCTCACAGGTTTTGGTTCCATACAAACCTGTTTCAGGCCTTCTACACAATCAAGAAAAAAAACCAGCACCAGTGGTCCTACCATCTCATCAGGTTTGGGCTAGAAAAACACAGTGGCACTTATTAACACCGATGACTTCCCTCTTTCAAACTACTTGCTCACTAAAATACAAAGGTTTCTTTTCCATTTCATTCACACACAGACATGTCCTCTTGCCCCAAGATGAAAATATCCAAACTTCACATCTCATTTACTTGCCAATGAGTAAGCCTTTGGCACAGTTGCAAACTTGATGTGAATTGTGAGGGGATGTCCTGTGGCTGCCCAGCTCTTCAGGATACTGAGTAACTGCAACTTTCTTACTCTCAGATAAATTGCTGAGAGGCAGCGACGAGACCAGGGAGCTTAAGGGCTGACTTTCACCAGGTTCCCAGAGTTGCTCTAACAATAAGACACAGAATTCTATTTTAGAAATTATTTGTCTAATATTTCCCCCCTTACCTAAATAGGAAGATTTCACTTCCTTCCCTTCAAGCCTTCCCCCCTCAATTGTTATCTGGCTACCAGCAAAGAACTGTGAGAAAGTGTCTCAGAAATAGAGATTTCTGGCATGCCACCTGTTCATAACTCAAATACACAGAACTATATATAAATACATGACATGGAACAAAAATACACACACACACACAAAGATACTGGGTGGATTATCACATGCATTCAGCGTGCTCCCTCTGAAGTCAATGGAAACCCAGCCCAGAGCATCTGATGAGAGTAAATACAGTGAGGAAAACACTTGCATGAGAAAGGCAGAACTGGAGCACAAGCCAGCTTGGAGGAGGTGCTTTCCCTGCATACAGCACCAGATCCCTGCCGTGAAGGCTCCAAGAGTTCATAGGGCAGGAGGTCCCAAGCTTTCCAGATGTGTGTCAGAATCCAGAGAGGGTCTGATGGACTTCTCTCTGCCCCGTGCTGATCACTGCAGGAACAGCAACAACTGACCTTCCAAATGTCCCTTCTCCACCAAGATGTGGATTTTAAGCTCCTTTTAATGAGAGCTAGCATCTGGAAGCAAGGAAGAGCAGCCAGCATCATGGCAACACGCCAGCTCTGCTGCAGCACCCCCAGCAAGCTCGTACAAGAACATCCACGGGCTACTGTTGGATGGCTTTGGGACAAAATTGTAGTTGCTGCCCTTGCCTTTTCCCCACTGCCACAATTATCTGCTTGCCCATTATTTTGTGGTGGGACACTTGGGCACATCGTTTTTCAAGCAGGACTGGTAGGTTTTCATGCCACTTTCTCACCCACACTGTCCCTTGCACATACATCTACAGAAGGGATGCTTAGTGCTAACCAGATGAAAACTGGCAAAGAGATCCCATGGATGAATGCAGCCTGCCACAGCACAGAAATCACTGGCTGGCACATGCAGATATCCGAAAGTTTGTTCTTTCACAGCAGGATTTTAAGATGATCCTCTGAGTTCAGACAAAATGACAAACTCATTTACATGCAAATTGCTTTCATAGCTTTGCAGAAAGGAAGGTTCTGCAGAACAGTGTTGGACCCTGCATTTGGCCTGCCTTAAATTATAATATAAAAACAATCATAATAATACGAATACTACTTTGTACACAAAGCACGCCCTCCCCTGCAAACCCTGGCATGCTTCGGTAGGTCCTACAGCCCTCTAGTCAATAGTCACCCTCTCTGCACAGAGAGACATTGAGTGACTTGCCTGAGGCCACAGAGGAATTCTGTAGCTAGTCCAAGGAAAGCTTTGTGGCTCCTAGCTCTGCTTCTTGACCAACATTAACCAGCCTCAAATATATGCAGAAAACATCAAAGCTGACTGTGCTGGGAAGAAATTAAATCAGAAAACAAACAGAAAACCAACCCCAGGGTACTGTGAGGCCTCCTGGACTTTGCTGTTTGATCAGGGGAGTTAAGTGTTAAAAGCTTTTGTTATACTTGTATTAGAATCACACAGCAACTGTGCATAAACCACCAGTTACCTTGTAGGCAGAAAGGGATGGAAAGAAAGCTGCACCTCCCCTGACGAGGAGTAAAGAGTTGTCACCAAAAGACAATGGGCAGAGGAAGGCTGGGGAATATGCATCAGAAACACCCAGCAGCAGCAGCAGGGGGTAAAGCCTGCGGTGGGTTGCTGCAGGTATCCACAGGGCCAGCAGCTGATGCAGAGACACAACCTGGCACTGCAGAGACCGGCTCCTCTGCACACGTTTTGCTCCAAGGAGGAAGCCACAGGGATCTAGAGAGAATGTCTTTTCAAACTGGTTTTGATGCTTTACATTTCAAACCCATCTGAAAGGAGGAAGGTCAGCAACAAGAGCCACCACAGCGAGGCTAGAGGGGAAAATGGAGCTGCACTAGGGCACAACCCTGCTGGAACAGGGAGAATAGTTTGCTTCATTGAGGCTAAGACTCCTTTCTGCTGTGCCAGGGCAGCAGAGATCTCCACTTCATATGCTTTCAAGCAGCCCCCTGATCCTGCAGAGCTGCTGAAGTTGTCCCTGTGAACAAATTATTCCTTCTAGCTTCTCAAATTCTGTACAATAGCAAGGAAAAAATACTTGACAGTATCTCTTTAAAGATAAACACACTGTAAACAGGAGATCTCCCCCGCCCCGGTAGCTTTCTTCCTCCTGCTTGTGCAAAACCAGAGGTTGCGACCTTCTCTGGGGTTCAGGCACAAGGACAGGATGCATGAGAATAAAGTTGCCTCTGTTTGCAGTGATACCATAGCTAATAGCACCAAGACCAACACTTAAAACATGCCTAATTTCAGGGCAGGGAGGATCTGGATTTGTTTTTCTTGACTGAACTAGAAAGTTCATCTTTAAATCTGTTCAGCTTCAAGCATGTGAGCTTTTGGCCTCCTTTAAACAGGGGAAATACCATTCCATTTCTAAAAAGAAAAAAAAATAGCACATGGAAGAACAGTTCTGCAGTCAGTAAAAGTTTGGCTAACAAAAGGACTCCAGAGTCACGTAAAGAACATTTAATCCATGGATTATAGGCTCGCACCTGGCAGAAATGTATGTGTAAATACAGGCGTGCAGAGTGTCTACACCCTGGGCTAAGGCAGAGGGGAGTTCTGCAGCTAGGAGAGAGAAAGGATTCTTACTACTAATTTTCATAGTTAAATATTTCTCACTCGCACTCACACATACGCAGGCTGCTCCCAGAGAGTTCAGCCTTAGGAAGGATAAAGGAAAGGGCTCAGTTCGGTCTGGGCTGGTGCTGAGTAGCTCCTCTTCTGTTTGCAGTGGTTGTGCAGCAAACTCTTTTTATTTGCAGGCAGAGTTTTTACTGCATTAATTATCCTGTGAGTCACTGGGTAATGGACAGTAACTTGGCTCTCCCAGTTGTTAGAATAGTGTAATTCAGCTCTAATGCAGTGGGTTGTCGAACACGGCATCTGGCAAGATGGAAACTTTCAGTTTCTTTTCAGGCCAGCTGTACTCCTTTGGAAGTTTAAACTGTAAGACAGTAAAGAGAACCAGTTAATGCATATCACTGAAATCTTCACAGAAAAACCAAAATTGTTGCAAAGGCGGGCAGCCCCATGTTATTATTATTATTTAAAACAACAGGCCGCTAAGAAAACATTTCCCCATCAGTATGTTTTGGACAGCAGTGGACATTAGATAATGTGGCCTGTCTCAGCTGCCAAAGTAAAGTTCTGAACTTTCAGCCCAAGCGCTGTTTATTTCGTCAGATGAATTTTGGAGGGTTTCTGTCCCCATCACTATTTTCCCTTCCCAACATCTCAGAAATGTTTTTTTTTGCAGCAGAAATGTCTTTCCTCCTGTCTAACCATGTCCCTCTTCTTTCACCCAGCCCAGCCTCCAGAGCCCACAGTTGCTTTAAAGGGAGTCTTAGGGAAGCTTTCAAACCCCTGCTCGTTTAGAATGGAATGTAGGTGGGCCATCAGAGCTCTCTGGTGACAGGCAAACCGTGCTGCCATGTCTGGGGAGAGCCAATGTGCCTGCACAGCATTCCTGCTGCAGTCCTCCCACCTCTGGCACAAGGGTCTCACAGAGCCCCACAATGCCTTGTGCTCACACAGGCACTTGGCTGCTCAGGCTGTTTTGCAAACACTGGTTGAAAAACACAGAAGGGAGATTTTTTGCCCCAGTCTGGTTTACACAGCACTGTCTGTGGCCAATGTTTCCCAAACAAGGCAAGTCCACCTGTCCCATGTTGATGTCCCTGCTTGGGCTAGGAAGTCACCCCAACATCAACCCAAACACAACCATTCAGGGACAGAGCTGCAAGGAGCCTTATCAGCAACCTTTCTCACAACCACATGACCAGTGCACAAGCATTCACACAGGTCTCTCAAACACACCTCTGCGGTGGGGGTGAAGGCGTGGGGTGGAATCTCTTAGGTCACAAATCTGCCCCATCCTGAGCTGAATGGCAACCAATTCTGCATAGGCATCTTATGCAATCCCAGTGGCCAACCTGAGGACCCAAAACACATGGAGGGGATAGCTCTGGAAGCCTGTTTGCAGGTTCATTTTGTTTTCAAAACTGTACTGTACCCAGTGTTGCACTGCCTTGCCTTGTGATACTCTCTGACACCCTGATGGGACTCCCAGGGAAGAATCTTGTGGGGATCCAACACCACCAGTGACAATCTGCCCTAGAGGTGGCTAATTCAGAATGTTTATGGATACAGTGGTCCTCTCCTAGGAGAGTCCTCAGACCCAGGCCAGCAGCATTGTAGACTTCCCAGGAGCTGTTTGAATAAGAGAGCTGGTACAAGGGGACAGTGACCTGCAAATCATCAGTCTTTCTCCAATTACTTATCTTTCTTCCTGTAAGCACCCTGTTTCTGATGGGCACCAACACAAGCTCAGTGTGAGGTTCCTGCTAAAGGAGATCCCCTCCAGCTGCTGCTCCACAGCAAGGGTGTCTCTAACATGAACTTGCTCCTGACCTTGCTCCATTTGCAGCTGCCCATGAGTGCAACCTGCAGTTAGTATCTATTGATCTTAATATTCTGGTGGTTCATGGTATGTCCATGATCTGGGGGCACAGCAGGAGGATTCTTTAGGATAGAGGCTACCACAAACTCCTGTTTGTTATCCTCTAGGAAACAAACAGCTCAAGTCCTATTTAAGTTTTTTTTTTTTTTATAAACTCAAGCCCTGTGTATTGCTTGCACCATATAATCTACTGGCCCTGCACAGCCAAGGGAATTCTGAGTTACTGTCTAGGACATGTGAAAAACATGTAAAGATACTTAGATTATTTCACTTAATTTCACTTAACACAGGTGGTTCTTTATGCAGCAAAGGAAAGACTCCTCACAGTGCTTCATTCTACCACATGAACATCATCAGCAACAGTCAGGACTGCTGAGGAATGCTTTCAGTTGGCCCAACCCATATCCTGCAAGTTACAAATCCTTGGAGGAATCTGGATGCTGAAAGATCACATTTCATCTCAAGTATTTTCCTTTTTATAAACAGCAGTGGTTCCAAAGCAATCCTCTTGGAGAAGTCATCCTTAGTATTTGTTTGTTTTTCACTTTTTAATTCAGCAAAGTCACCGTGAGTGGGAACCAAACACCCTGTTGCTGTGCCAGGAGCTGCCATGCTCTTTGCCTCAACAGACAGTGAAAGAACATGAGCTGTCCAAAGCCCTCACTAAAGGGCCTTCAAACCAAAGTGCTCCTGGGCTTCCATGTCACTAGCAAAAATGAGCTTTGGATTAGGTTTAACTGGATAAAAGCTGGCCTGAAAGTCACTGCACAGCCAGCAGCATGCTCCCCTCACTCACACAGTGAGGAACACCCTGGCATTAAGTCAACTCTGGATTAAACAATTAGAGCCCTGAGATTTTCCTGGGGGGAGGGGAGCAGAGCAAGAGATGGGAGGGCTGTTCTACAAGCCAAGGAAAGTTTCTTTAGAGTCTGCAGGGAGCTGTAAAAAATGGGATTAAAAATATTACATGTCATTTCTGCCACTGATCTTTGAAGTCAAGCAGAATATTTATATGGCATGCATGGGAGACGGGGTGTTAAATGTTCCCCAGGAAGAGATCACATGGCAGTGGGAAGTTTAGTACCAGCTTTATAAAGCCCCCCTGGCTGTTGCTGTAATGCTTCCAGACTGATGATGGTCATTCACACACCGTGCAGGGCCAGCAGGTGAAGGCCAAGTAGCAGATGTGAAACAGCCCTGCCTGCTTACCAAACCCACTAAAGGAGGCCCATACAACAGATTGTTCAAAAGTATATGTGCGACCACCACTTTCTGCCTTTCTGAAAGCAGGGAAGGTGATGTGCTAGGAGCTGCTGGTGAGGACTACATCTATGCATGGCATGGAGGAAACCCTGCCACCTGTCCCACGGGCTGCACTGCTTTCATTTGGAGTGCTCAGATACCATGCTGGAAAAGATGCTGATGGAAACCAAAACACAGAGCCTCCCTTAATACCTATCCCTGTCTTGTATTTCTTGCAATCCCTTCTCTCAGTGCCTCAGTAGTTCACGGCAGATGTGAAGGCTTAGCATGGCCTGAAGTCTATGGATGGGGCAGGGCTGCAGCCTGCAGGCTGAGGGGAGGATCAAAGACAAGCTGCAGGACGGGCTGAGCTCTCTGGGATAGTACATGGAAGATAAAGGAATGATGCAGCCTTACTTCCTCTGGAGAATTCAGATCTTCTAAATCTTCCAGCATTCTCTCTACGAACTCTTCGGTCAATAGGATCTGCAAAGGAAATACAGTATTTTATGCTATTACACACTTAGTTTTAGTTAATTGCAAGGAACAGCATGACTTCTGCACAGACCAGACTGTATCAACTCACTCCTTCCCCTATGTCCTTCTTTACCGCAATACAAAGGTTTGAGGGCAAGGAGATCCTAACTTTGTCTTCCACCCCAACCACTGAAAAAAATGTTAAAATTATACAGCAATCTTTTTTGACCCTCAATTATCTCCCTCAGTCTAAAATTAGAGGCTCAGCTTTAGACAGAAAGAGTGGGGAAGGAGGAAAAAGGGTCAAGTTGGAGAGACAGTGGGAGACAGCCACTTTCATCTGATCCACTGAAGTCAAGCTCACAGTTTAATCAGGAAATAGCAGCATAGGAAGAGCCAGAGATCCTTACAGAGCTGGTGCTCTGAGCATGGGGAAGGGCCTGACAGCACATTGTTCACATGAACCAGATGCTGGGTATGGGAAGTGCTCCCAGAGGTGCCCACGCAAGGCACCCCCATATTGTGATGGCACATGCCCATCCTGCATGCCTGTTCTGGGAAAGCTTCTGGCTCATCTCAGAGCCAGGCTGGCAAGCATGAAGCAGTCTGAGAAAACAGCTGCTGTTAAGTCAAAAGTCCTGGATGAGGACCACAACCCCAGCTCCATGGAGTCCCCCAAGTCATAGAAATAACAGGGGAAATTAGCCCTGGGAATTCAAGCAGAGGAACTCCCACCCTCTTTAAAAAAATATGTGATAGGCAAAAGCAAACACATCCTGCCCTCTTCACAACAGCCGCAAAGGCCAGAGCTCCAGGCAGGACAGCTGGTTTGGCACAGGAGCAGAGACGGCCGTGCAGGACCAGGCAAACATCCCCACGCAGTGAGGGGGCCTTGGAGCAGCATTCCTGGGAGTTAGGTTGCAGCAGCATCCAGTGGATTATTATTTCCATTTTAGCCTACAGGTTTGTTTCTTTCCCTCTGCTCCTCCTTTCCTTCCTCTGGTCCACCCTTTCCTTCTCTGGCATTACTTTCCATCCAGAAGAGCTCACCATTCCCATGCCCCCTTTCTCACCCTTCCTCTCCCTGTTCTTCCCAGCCATGAGCCCTGTGCTCCAGAGAAAGGACTGTTCTAGCACCAAACAGTGGTGGAGCTAAGTGGCCAGTTGCACTGCTCTCCACCTCACATCTGACAGAGGGGCAACCAGGCTGTCCCATTGCCCTGCAGGACGCCCACCTCCTGTGCCCACTGGCTGCTTAGGGCCAGTAACACCAGTGGAGAGCAAGTGACTGCCAGGATACCATGGGTAAGTGGAAGCCTCTGGGCTCCATTTTGGCAACACATAAGCAGGACTATTGGACAGAAAGAGAAATGGGATACTCTTTCTTCTTTTGTTGGGCAAGACAAGAGATCCAAAAATCATTAAATCCACATCTAAGGTGTCTGCAGTCCTCTCCCCTCAACATTGCCACACTGCTGCCACTATACACAGATTTCCTGGGGGATGACGGAACCAAACCTCCCCTCTCCTTTACATTCCCCTCTTCACTTAGCTTCAACCTGCAGCAGGCTCCAGGCCAGGTTTATGAGCAAGCTGCTCAGCATGAATGCAGGCACCTTTACCAGGCCTTTCTGATCATACCTCGAGCCTGAAAAAACTCTGCTTCAGCTTGGAGCCAGCAGCTTGCTGCTTTAGACAGGACTCTGCAACCTGGCACCAATCTGCAGACTGGCAAGCTGAGGAGCATTGCACTGAAACACGCAGTGCCAGCGCAAACTGCTGCAGTCTCTTTGCAGGAGCCTGCAACTCTTCTACCTCTTGAACTGGAGACACTCTTTTGCTGACTGTTTGCAGGAGGAGGGAGAAGTCTGTCCCTGTTGGAGGCAGGAGGGCAACCTGATCACTCAGCTCAGGAGGAAGGGCTGGGTGGGGAGCTGGGGCTCTGCACTGAGAGGATCGCTTTCTGCGGAGGTGCAGTCTGCAGTGGGGTGAGGGAATGAGAACAATTTGGCAGACATCAAAATCTACAGAACAGCCGGAAAAAGGAGGAGGAATTGGTATTCACAGCAATCAGGCCAGGAGGAAATGAATATTCAGCCATCCACGGATGAGCAAAAATGCCAGAGGTTGGGATGGGTGAGAGAGCAGGAATGAGAAACTGCAGCTTTGGCAGGGAGACTAGAAGACAAGCACAGCAGGAAGACCCCTGGGCACTCCCAAGGTGCCACAGGCAGAAGAGAAATGGAAGCCACGTGTGCAAGGCAGCCAGCTGCTCTGAGGCTGTAGGAAGACATGACAGTGTATGCAGGAGTAAACAGCAAAGGGTGGAGAGAATGAAGGAAGGAACAGGTCAGGTCTTGGCTAGGAACAAACCTACATGGAGCACTGTGCCTAGAAACTGGGGTGCAATGCCTTAAGATGGTTGAGCCTGTCTACAGCTCACTGCCCTCTCTCAGTGAATTTTGTTAATCCAGCTGAAAAAAAAAGCACAAATTCCACTGAGGCACTGAGCTGAACTGGCTCCCTGAAAGGTCTGACAAGTGGAGCGAGACAGGAGACCACAGCTCAGCTCAGCTGCATTTGGGGGCTCAGATGGCAGCCTGCTCTGTGCAGCATGTGAGGAAAGATTGCAGTGCCTTCTGTGAGCCCTGCATGGACAGTAACTTTGGTGGATGGCAGGTGTCACAGGCTGCAGGGACAAACTGCTGCAGTGACATTCACACACACACTGTGTATCTCAGAGCTTGTCCTTAACAGTCCAAGTTAGAAAAAAACCCACCCCAAATGCTACCACCCCACATTTCTGGGACAATGTGCCTTCCTTCCTGGGGAAGAAGGGAGACTCCAAAGTGCAGGTGTAACCAAATGTACAAGCAGCTACGTCCCACAACACAGGAAACTGTCACTCTTGAGGTTCTCCTGAGCATGCAGGGGGAAGGCATGTGCCAGCAGGACACCAACTGCTTAAGAGGGCTTGGAAGCAAGAAGTACTGTCATCCTGGATTTGCGTCTAGACAAGATTTCTTCTGTTAGAAGTAACCCAATCAAAATGGCCCAAGAACACTAATGCCTGTGCTCATACATAGATCAGGCTGCCATCCCCACCTGCAATCAGCAAACCCACCTCCATGCTGGTGAGTCTTACAGAGAAGGCTGTAAATAAATCCAATCCTATCTCAGCACCCCTCACTCACACTATTTCACATTTCCAGTTCTTGTAGCATGCCTGCTCCTGCACAGTATGATACCCCATTACATTAACACACACACACACATTGTATGTGCATGATATTAAAGGTGACATTCCCAGCAAATAAACATGACAGACTGCCATTGCTCTAGGCACCTAATTTAATTTCCTCTGGGATTTAAACCTTAGAAGCTCAAATTAAACAAATAGGCCTCACTCACTTTATACTTCAGAACTGAATCTGAGTTTTCCTCTGATGCTGTTGACTGATCTTATCAACAGGACACTACACAGAGATCACAATGATGAAGCAGCTTATTCCCTTCCCAAAGGAAAACAGAGCCCCACTGTTGGGCTACAGCCATGGGAAAAGCCAACACAATCTGGAGGGCAAACGAAGCCATTCCATGTGCACTGAACAAGCCTCTTCTCCCATGAAATCTTTCAGCTGGTGCTGAGGAAGCAAAGGAGCAGTCCTGAGCAGGTGTTCTGGGTGCTGCAGCAGCCCAGCCTAGCAGCACTGTGTTTTCACAGTCCTGTGCAAACAGCCAGCCTGCTGAAGCTGGTCACAGGGTGCAGCTCAGCCTGTGCACGGGCTGTTTGCAGTATGAACAGTGAATGGCCCTGCCAGCCAGCTGCGGGTATCTGAAACAACTCCTTGGGTGCTACACAGTCCTGCTTGCACCAGGATCTCCCAGACCTGACCTAGAGAGACCTGGACATGTGCAAAACCATTGCCAGCAGATCTGATTCCATTTCCTCTGTGTTTTGTGGCACTCAGTGATGCTACAGATGCTCGGAAGACAATAACAGCCAGAAGATAAGTCCCTGTTTTCTATCACAGGTACCTACTGCACAGCTGAAGTACAAAGTTTGGGTTTTCACCACTTCACTAACAACTGTAAGTGTCCAGACATGTTCAGAACACCAGGCTAGGCTGTCTCATTCAGGTGGATGTGCTCAGAGAACACATGCTGTCTCCCTCTCGTGGCAAGTCTCACCTGAGCTTGATGAAATCTACTCATCCACAGGGCTCACCTATGGGTCACCTGAAGGAGTTTGTGTTGAAGCTTTCTGTGTTGAAGCTTTCATACCCACATCTGGCTGAGTAATCTGTATCATGACTTGTTACAGGTACTCAGCTGCAGATGTATGAAAATGGATGAAATCTAAAAGTGTACACAAGATCTTGGGGTTCCAGATGAGTTCGGCTGACTTTGAAAGCACCTGGTGCTTAGTAAAACATTAAAGACTTTATAATCAGCTTACAGGTACCACTCCACAGTTAACACCCCATCTCTCACTACAGGGTTTAACACTACCATGAGGGATTGAAATTTTCAGCTCAGGAAAGGCTCCTAGGGACAGAGGTCACACCAATGTTGAATGCCTGGCACAGCTGGCAAGACTTTGATCAAGGAAGACTCTCAGAAGCTGAGCTAGGAATCAAGCTGCACCTCTGCCCGACTTAAGGAAACATGTTTTGCCCAGGGCAAGACACAAGCAAATGGCCCAGTTACACTGAAGCAGAGGCTTTCACTGATAATACTCAATTCTCTTGCCTACCTAGGAAAAACCAAACAATCACACACTTTGCCCTACTGCTCTGTTTGCATTAAACACTGCAAGTTTCTTTTCTAGCCGGTTTGTCAAAGAAAGAAAACCATGTTTTATTAGTTCTGGACTTAGTACAGAGGTGGCCTGGATGTTCAACCAGAGAAGGTGAGGACACATTGCAATAAACCCCTATGTAAACCACACCAACCCTTGTAAGAAACTGTTCATCCATTGGGTGCTATGCCTGGAACAGGTGGGACAG